GAGCCCGCAATCCGGGCATGTGCCCTGACTGGGAATTGAGCCTTGACCTCCTGGTTCATAGGTCGACACTCAGGAATTTTTGTAAAGATGGTGAAAGGGTTTCAACAGGGGCACAGACATGCCCCCGTGACTTTCAGCAGGAGAACATTATTTGACTAATTGTGCAGTTACAATATTGCACAGATCAAACCCTCCAAGTTTAGTGAAGCTTGTCTGCCTCTTGTTTGTGACGTAGCCAACGACAATGACAATTTAACATTTCCCTCAAATTTGAGGACCCTGGGTCCCTGTGAGAATGAAAAATGGACAAGTTAAACAGGCTCTTTTGCAATGACTGAGAGACACTTTGGAAGGTTTTCCTTGTAGTTTCTGATTTGGGTATTTTTGTTGTTGTTGTTTGTTTTTAAATCTAGTGCTTCTTTCTTCCCCACCTCAAGTAGTAATAATAATAATAATCTATAAGAATAAAAGCATAATATGCTAATTAGACCGGATGACCTTCCGGACGAAGCTGGGGCTGTGAGGGAAGCTGGTGCCGGCAGCTGGGGGAAGGAAGGCCTACTCTTGCACGAATTTTGTGCATCGGGCCTCTAGTAATAATAATAATAATAATCATAATAGGAAATGGTAAAGATATTTAAATACCTGAGAATTTCCTTTTCTCCATAGGCCTCGTGCTTAATTCTGTTTGGGTTTGGAAATATGAGGCGACCACTATTTTCTGACAAGTTGGAAAGGAAATAAGAGACACCCCCTCCTCCCATCTTTTCTGAGCCTTAAGAGAGCCAGCGGCACTCAGCAGCTAGGAGGTGTCTACGGGACTGTCCTCTGAAGGAAAATCGAGAGCTAAGTGTGCCTCCTTTCCCATGAAGGTTCTGCCAGGGTGACAGGCGGTGAGATTATAGTTTACCTCTGGCCAGAGTTTTGAAGAACTGCGGTGTTCCCATTCTCTTCCAGCGGAGCTCTGATGTGTGCAGACTCCCTATAATTATGGTATAATTGGATTTAACTATAGGGGTAGAGCTAGTTTTCAACGAAGTGCCCTCAAATAATTTGTTGCTTTTTAGAAAAAAAAAGGATACTCTTACTGGCTTTAGCGGCATGCATGAATGGCTCCCCCCAACTCCTCAAAAGAGAAAAGGATGCCTGGTGTGAGCCCCAGTAACTTTAGGGGGGTTGATGGGATCCTAGTTCCTGAGTATCTCAGCTCTGAACATGCCAGAAAGTTTACTTTTTCTAAAAAGGAAATTCAGAGAGGAGGCCTTCCCAGGGTCCCAACGTGAAATGTTCCAGTCTCATGCCTATGGTTAGGACGTTATGCTAAATGTCCAGAGTTGCATGTAGCGGCCTGTGGGTTGAATCTAGGTGTGGGTGGATTGTTATTAGGTTTGCATGATGTTTAGAGTTTTCGTGAGTTAGTTGCTGCAGATATTAATTAGATGGTTTCACATAAAATTCTGGATTTCCGCCTCCACATAAAAAAGCAACAGAAAAAAAAAAAATCTGTCCATTCAGGGCCCGAATCCCTCCATCACCACACTCTGCTCGACCTGACTTTCTGGTCCTTTTAAGAAGGCAACCACTACTTTAACTTGTGCCTTTCAGCTCTCACCACACATTTACTTAAACTTTTTGACTCTTGTTGTTTAAATCATTTGTATCCTTGGGTCTCTCCTCCTCCTCTTCTCCTTCTCCTTCTCCTTCTCCTTCTCCTTCTCCTTCTCCTTCTCCTTCTCCTTCTCCTTCTCCTTCTCCTTCTCCTTCTCCTTCTCCTTCTCCTTCTCCTTCTCCTTCTCCTTCTCCTTCTCCTTCTCCTTCTCCTTCTCCTTCTCTCTCTCTCTCTCTCTCTCTCTCTCTCTCTCTCTTTCTCCCACCCTCCCCATAAATCTCTGCATAATTATGAACTTACCTTTTATTGAAGGCAGTGTGATATAGGGAGACAAGTAAGAGCCTTTAAATTACAGAACCATACTTAAATCTCAGCTCCTTGGTTCACTAACTGTGTTACTTTATATAAACAACTTTACATTTCTGATCACTGTTCCACATCTTGGGCTTATATGACACCACATTTAGGCCAGAGTGAGCCCCAGTGCAATCCTTGACACCCAACGGATGTTTAATGACCATTAGTTTTCCATGCTCTTATTCTGCTTTAAATAGAGGTAGAGAAAAGAAAATGTTGGCATAAGTCAATGTCACAGACCCTTACAGAGCACGACACCTGGGAGTTTGTTCACTCTCCCACACAGGTGAAATACAGAGGAACCCTCTTGCTCAAGGTTACTCAGGGAACGACAAAGGAACCCAGGTGTCCTGGGCTCTTAGCCCAGTGCTCATTGCACTCAGAACAGTCTCCCAGATCCACACAGATTCTTCCCAGAAGAACTGAACATGGTGTGAGCGTGGGATTTTTGTTGCTCGGGGCTTGACAAAACGGTCGCAGACAATGAGTGGTTTGAATGTCTGAAAAGAAGCATTAGGGAGGGACCTAAATTAATCACACAACTGTTGCAAGATATAACTGGGTTGTTAATAAGCTTTGCTTTGCCATTTCACTCTTTAATGAGTCAGTTTGTGCAGACTTCCCTTTAATATGCCTTGCCTTCTTTCTTGAGGTGACTGTGCAGTAAAGGTGTGCCACCTTGGTCAGCACCTTAATCATCTCTGGCTGACGCTTTAAAGCAGTGGTTCTCAACCTTGGCTGCACATTAGATTCTCAGAGGATGAGGCCCAGAAAACAGGATTTTAAAAAGATTCCCAGGTGATTCTAATGTGCAGCCAAGGTTGAGAACCACTTCTTTAAAGTGAAGTAAAATAAAGTGAAACAGCTGACCCAGGCTCATCTCCTTCCCACCAGAATTCCTTATGTGGTCATCAGACATGTGTCTTCACTTACAAAAGGCTCAAGGCAAATGGTTAAGTGGAGGCCAGGCAGGGTCTTGAGCAATAACACCATCTTCTCATAAGGTGTTTCAAAATCTCTGGGGTCTGGGAGTTGGAAGACCAAGATTCAAATTCACACCCATTTTCAAGGATCTTTGTGAACCTGGACAAGTCACTTCACATCTGTGGGTCTTAGTTTTCTCATTTGTCCAGCTCCTTCCAGCTCCAACAGTCTTCGATGACTATTCATGTAGAACTTAACTCCTCCGAAGGTTGTAGGTTGACTTTGGGAAGGATCCAAATCAGGTTGCTGAAGGACAGTAGGGAAGTTCTGACCCTGTGTTGGGTCAGAGAAAGGCTGGGGTCAAGGAACCAGAGTCCAACCTTTTGTAATTCCAATGAGTTTGAAGAATTCCAGGTCACTGAATTGCTTTGGCTGAACACAGTGCAGGGGTCAGAAGATAGAGCCGTGGAGATGGGTGATAAGGTGATGAGGACAGAAAGTGGAAGGACTTGCAATTTCATTCCTAGACTGAGCAGTACATCCTCGGGAAGTGAATTTCACTAAAACTTACCTACCTCAGAAATGTAGATGTGGGAAGATTGTGAGTGAGTCAAGGATGAGATTTTAACAAGACTCACTCTTGCTTTTTAAGTTGAGATCAGACCAGAGACAGGAGTGTGGAGAAAAGAAGGGCTGATGGATTTGTTCCTCCTAATTGACTGAGTGGTTTCCAACAAAGCATTTAGTCTCTTTGAATCTCTGGGGTTGATGCCCTTTCTGGGGCTGACATGATTCTATTCCCTCAGTATATCCAAGTCTTTGAATAGAGAGCCATTAGTTGGAGCCAGAAAGAATATATGGATATTGAATTTTGACACATAACATGGACCTTGGCTCAGGACCACCATGAAGGGGAGTTCAGCATTTCTCCCGCTGCCTGTAATCCTAGCTCAGCTCTTGGAGTTGCCTAGTAGCTTGGGAAATTATGAAAGCCCTGTGGAAATGCAGAGGCAGACGGAGAGTGGGCTGGACTGGATTGGATCAGTTGTTGCGTGTGATTTCAAGCCAAATACATTCTTCCTTGCTCTTTTTTTTTTTTTTTGTTAATCCTCACCTGAGGATATTTTTCCCATTGAGAGAGTGGAAGGGAGGGAGAGAGAAAGAGAAAGAGAGAAATATCGATGTGAGAGAGACACATCCATTGCCTGCCTCCCACACGTGCCCCGACCAGGGCCAGGGATTCTAGTCTGCAACCGAGGTACATGCCCTTGACCAGAATCGAACCCATGACCCTTCAGTCTATGATCAGGCACTCTAGCCACTGAACCAAACCATTTAGGGCTCCCTTGCTTTCTTGAAGATTTACTTCATGTTGCTTCCCACCCCTCCCCCCCCCCCCCCCCCCCATACCCAGATGCTGTTGATAGCAACCACTGGCTCTTCTGATCACGTAGATCACCAGCCATGACCTCTTTCTCTCTTGTCTTGATCTACCCAGCCTCTATGCTGCATTCAACACCTTTTCCCCCAGGTGCTCCTCTGGCAAGCACATGGTGACCTCTTTTGTGCTGACCTACTGTGGCTGTTCCATGCTGAACCCTCCTGTGTAGCTTTTAACTGCATGTTTTTGTGTTGTTGTCTAATTGTTTCACATACATTGTTTACCTCTACAAAGCCTCTCCAGATTGTAGGGTTTGGGCAGCCAGGGACCATGTTTCCTGCTTTCTTAAATCGTCCCTGGGCCCGAGCATGCTGGCCTCAGAGTGTCTGATCTTTCACGGTCACATGCTCTTCACCGGAGACTTCCCCCTGCCTCCATGTACCTTCCCCAGCTCCTGCTTTGCTCCTGCCAGTGACAGACTGTCCCTTTCAGCTGGGGGCCTGCAGCTGCCCTAGCATGCCTGCTGCACATCATCTTGAAGTAAGCTGTCTGGAAGTGCCCTGGTGAGTCAAGTGGGCCCCTCCTTAGAGACAAGGAATTCTGAGGTCTAGCAAGCACATGCCTGCCCATCTGTGGAGCAGTTCCAACCCCCGTCTTGCCTCGGGGAACACTCCTTATTTTTACCTCCAGTAAGCTTCTTCCCTCCTCTACTGGCTGCCCTGACTTGTCAGGTGTAGATGGCAGGGCAACTCTGAAGAGCCAGTGCTTGGTGTGGGGAGGGAGGATGTCTGCCCCCGCTGAGAGCCCGAGCGTTGCGGGATTCTGGTAGGTTCACTTTGGTAAACCCAAGAGCAAGAGGAGAAACCACACAATCGTGGCATTTTTGAAGCCTGAGCCCACAGAGAAGAAGAATAGGATGGAGAAGAGACCAGGGCTCCGAATGGACTTGACCACCAATTAGCTGTGTCATCTGGTGACTCATTCATCCTCTCTCGCTCTAACTCCTCTTCTGGAAAGCGAGGCAGTTGGATTAAAGCAGTAGCTTTCAAAGTTAGAAAACAAAGGAACCTTTTATCAAGCAAAATCTCATGAAGAATTTCAATTTCTAGAATGGAAAAGCAGAGCCAGTCTGGTTGAAGCAGGGTGCAGAGGGCCTCCTGGTTTCCTCCTGGTCATTCAGATTGTCCCCTGACGCACTTCACCAGAACTTCCCAGGATCACAGTTTGAAAGCACAGAGGAAGCTGATTTCGATGGCCCTACTAGCCCTGCCTCAAGGTGTAGCATTTCAGGCCCTCCTGGCCACCCATTGAATCAGAATGTGCATGCTAACAAGATGCCCAGGAGATTCCTTCAGGTTTGAGAAGCACTTCTGGACCATTTTGCGACCCAGAGATTTGGGTGGCATGAGGAGCAAGGGGGCATCATTATATCCTTCATTGTAGTATGTGGGCCCGGTCAGCTGGGGCCGGAAGTGTGGGCCACATCTCCTTGTTGAAAATTTGAATGCCTCGTGCATTAGTTGTCCCCTGGGTGGGGAACCAGCGTGGAACACAGTGAGGCTTGTTCTTGGGCTTAGCTGAGGAGAATGTATGCAGAATGTATGTTAGGAGATGCTGCAGACACAGCATTTCAAAGGGGACTATGTGTTCCCAGGATGGGAGTGCTCACTGCAGGTGGCTTATTGGTGTGACTTTGTAGGCAACTGTGCTCCTAATATGCATCTCCTCCCTCATCATGCAGGATCCCCCGATCTCTCTTCATGCCTGGGTATGACAGCTGGGCGTGGACTTAGGAGACCTGTATTTTAGTCCTGGCTCTGATCTTCCCTGGTGTTGTTCCCTCGGGTCCCTCTACCTCTCAGGGCCTCAGTTCTCCAACCTGTGATGCAGTGTGGTACACGTTACAGAGCTGTGAGGATGAGCTGAATCTGTGAAGGCTCTTTCTGTCCATTGTAAACTCCTAAAAGCTAAGGGATCTGTTTGTACCAGTTCCGATCTGTAAAAACACCCAGCTGGCCTCAGCTGGGCTCGGTAACAAAGCCAACCCAGAGGTGCAAACACCCCTGAGAGACTAAGAGCTGGCTTCGGTGTCAGCCTAAGCTGTTCTCTGGAGCCCCGGTTTTTGTCAAAGTTGGGCAGCCCTGTGGATTTTTTTTTTGGTATTTTTTATGTTTTATTGATTTTTAGAGAGAGAGGAAAGGAGAGGGAGAAAGAGATAGAAGCATTGATGAGAGAGAAACATCATAGTTTTGCTGCCTTCTGCATGTCCCCCCACTGGGGATGGAGCCTGCAACCGGGAATGGAACCAGCAACTTCTTGGTTCATGGGTTGACACTCAACCACTGAGCCACACCAGCCGGGCTTGATAGTTCTTTAAAAACCTTCATCAGGACTTAATGAACTAAATGCTTAGTTTTTGGTTTTTTTTTAAATAGTATTGTGGGAAATTAAAAAGACAGTAAAGTATACCTAAAAACGATTCTAAAGTAAAATAAAGCCCTGACCGGTTTGGCTCAGTGGATAGAGCGTCGGCCTGCTGACTGAAGGGTCCCGGGCTCGATTCCGGTCAAGGGCATGTACCTTGGTTGCGGGCACATTCCCAGTGGGGAGTGTGCAGGAGGCAGCTGAATCGATGTTTCTCTCTCATCGATGTTTCTAACTCTCTATCCCTCTCCTCCCTTCCTCTCTGTAAAAAAATCAATAAAATATATTTAAAAAAATAAAAGAAAGAGTTTACTAAAATGCAAAATTCAAGGAAAAGGAAAGAGAAGAACACAGGTTTTGCTCATTATGCTCCTGTCCTTAGTTAAGTCCAGCAGCCCCTTCCTGCTGTAATTTTTTTTTTTTAATTTGGCAGAAGCTGGGATGAGATGGGGTATTGAGTCAACCCTGAAAATGAACTCGCTATTTTCTCTTTCTTTGTTAATGCCCCAATGACCACTTCTGTAAAAACTCTTCCTGGTAACAAAGAGCATGTTTGTGCTGTGGGTGGGGATGTTTCGGGATAATTTGTATGTTTCTGATGGTTTTCTGTTGACAGGAGAATTTAAGTGTCATTTAGTAATAAGGCCTTTAGGATTTTCTCCTGGTTTCTCATTCCCTCTTTCCTTTTTGAAAACCTGAGATCTTCCTCAGCCAAGAATAGACACAGTTGAGCTGCAAAGGAGTGGGCTGGGTTTGTCCTTGAAGGCCCTGGAGGAGAGGTAGGCTCCTAACTTGAAGGCAGCCACTGGTTGAGCATGGTCACCCCACCCTATTCCCTTCCCTTCCCTCTGCTCAGCCCCCACCATTTCATCCCACCTCGCCTGCCAGTGGCCTTCATTCAGAAGGCATCCACAGAGCTCTGTGCCTTTAGAAAAACAATGCTTCTTGGGAACTCTGTGCTAGACCTGGAGAGACTTTGCTTATTGTGCTGTTGCCACATGGACACAGGCAAGTTCAAGAGAGATTGGGAAGATGTTAATACTCTTGGGATTGAGCCAGGTGAACTTTCCTTAAACACATTAAAAAAAAAAAAAAGTATTGATTTGCCCTAGCTGGTTTGGCTCAGTGGATAGAGCATCGGCCTATGGACTAAAGGGTCCTGGGTTCGATTGAAGTCAAGGGCACATGCCTCAGTTGCAGGCTCCATCCTCAGCCCTGGTTGGGGCATGTGCGGCAGGCAGCCAATGGGTGTGTCTCTCTCACATCAATGTTTCTCTCTCTGTCTCTCCCTCTCCCTTCCACTCTCTCTAAAAATCAATGGAGCCCTAATTGGTTTGGCTCAGTGGATAGAGCATCGGCCTGTGGACTGAAAGGTCCCAGATTCGATTCCGGTCAAGGGCACATGCCCAGGTTGTGGGCTCCATCCCCAGTAGGGGGTGTGCAGGAGGCAGCTAATCAATGATTCTCTCTGATCATTGTTAGGTTAGAGTTAGAGTTTAGGGTTTAGGGTTTGGGCTAGAGTTAGGGCTTACTGTTAGGGTTAGTATTTAGTGTTAGGGTTAGGGAGATGTATAGGATAGTGTTTTGTTTGTTTGTTTGTTTTTTAAAAAAAAAAACAATGGAAAAATATCCTTGGGTGAGGATTAACAAAAAAATTTTAAGTATTGATTCTTCGACTAAATTTCCAAGCTGGGAATTCATTCTGGGGAAGCTGGTTTGGCAATGCTGTTCAGCTGAGCTCCGTGATATTGGAAAGGCCCTGCCATCACCGTCCAGGCTCAGCAGAGGGGGAGGGAGGCTTTGTGCAGCTGGATCTGCCCAAGGCTGTGTGCCTGTTACTGAGAGATGCTGGACCCCTCAGCTTACCAAGACTGCATGGGATTTCCCTCAGTAATTCAGCATCTTTCTTCGAAATCTAGGCAGTGATTGATTCCCAGAGCACTGTGAGGTTTTCATTTGGATCTTCTTGTCTCTTTGAGGGCTGGGAAAGTGACACACACCTCCTCCAACCCTTCCTTTCTTTCCAATTAACAAATTGCCTGAATGCAGTGCCTCCCAAATTTGTGTCTTTAGCCCAGATCCTTGTCCTAAGCATAGGACCCATTTGTCCAACTTTCTCTTGAACATCTCCACTTGGATATCCCACAAGCAGTTCACACTCAACCTGTCTGAAATGAAATTGATCAGAATTCCCCCCAATTTGCTTCCTCAAACACACCTGCGCTCCTTTTCAACTTTCACCCAGTTGTTCATGCCAGAAATGTCAGACTCCCCTGGATTCCTTTCTTCTCTTACTCTGCATCCTATTGGTCATCAGAACCTGAACAGGCCTGACCCAACCATCTTTGTTCATCCCCATTGCTGCCGCACTAGTACAGACCACAGATACAAGTTATGTAGGAGAAGGTTTCCCATCTTCCCCTCCCAGTTCCCAGCACAGAGACTGACACAATAGATGCCGAAGATGTTTGCTAAATTAAGAAATGAGAAAGGAAGGGAAGACAAATGAAACGATTACCAGTTGCTGCCTCTGAAAAGTCCAGACTAGACACAGGAGAGAGGAGAGAAAGTGCAGCTATGAAGGCCTCTGGATGAGATGTTTCATAACGTCACTTTGTTGCAGGACTGATTGACAGTAATGTTATCTAACCTAGATCCAAACAGCTACAGTATAAACTCATTTTCACTGGCTCTGTCCCTAAGATGAGCTAGTTCCATTTCTTCTGTGTGTGGCAGAAGAAGCTACAGGGATTAAAAACCTTTGTGCAAAGCCAGCTTCCAATCCAAGCAGCAGACCTGGATCCATTTTCTGGGAGAATAGCCGCCCCAGGGCTGGCTCTCCCTCCCCAAGAATTAGCAGAAAAACAGATGTTGAGGTTTGGGCTCATCTTCCTATGTCTGCAGGATAGCTGTGTACATAGCAGCTTCCTGCGTATTTGTCCCTTCACTCTTTTCTGTGCAGCTTCCAAATCCTTTGTAGTTTTTTCCCTTCCCCCAAATCAGGAAGAAATGAGATAGCAATAAGAGAGGCCCAAAGTCTTAAAGCTCCTCCACCCTGAGCAAAGTGTTTGAATTCTAGTCTCTCTCTGTCTTCACACCAGAACAGGACATAACATGTTTTGCTGATGCTAGATCCTGGAGCTGTTGGGAAGGGGAAGGAAGCCTGACAGAATGCATTGTTTTAAAAGTACTCCTTCCCCATGTTTACTCCATGGTAATTAAAAAAAAATGGTGCCTTCAGTTTTACAACCCTTTCACTCTGTCTGGACTAGCTCAAAGGCCTTGGAAGGCCCAGATATTTTTGCAAGGGTGTGGCCTTCTGCTTTGAGAGGAAACCACTTTCTGCACGTGTTGGCTGCAGAGACCCCTGCCTTGCATAGAACAGTTGCACCAATTTCTACTCAGGGGAAGCCAGTGGTCTGTGGCTCTGGGTCTCCTGGTTGTTGTTGGTGGTGATGGGGGTAGAGAAAGGGGTTGGTGTCTGTGGGGAGGGTGGGAGTTTGGAGAGAGGCAGGAAAGTATTGTAAAGGGAAAGGATAAAAAAAATAAGCCTTCTTGGAAGATACAGTGTTGATGGACCAAATTATTTGCTCTGAGACAAGGCAAATATTCAGTTCTGAGCAGGAAGCTAATTCTCCTGGATTTGGAGGGAATTCTTTTTATCTGCAGGAGAATTTCAAGGCACAGTAGAGACAAAGAAACTTGTTAGGCTTTTACTTCTTTAAAACAAAGGAAAAAGACGTAGACTTAGATTGTTTTTCTTTATGTGATACCGTGATAAGAATTTGTCAACATTTTTATTCATCTAGGCTCTTCATCCAATTGACTTAAGTGATTAATTGTGTAATGGCTTTTCTGAAAATCTAGATTTGTAATTAGTTACCCCTGCTAATTTTTAAAAATTGGATAAAAATGTTGCGTGTCTGCTGAA